TACGCCAAGCTAAGCAAGTGCCGCTTTGCCCAGCACAAAGTGGATTTCTTAGGACACTACGTATCTGACCAGGGTCTCCACATGGACGACGCGAAGATCACTGCTATTGCGGAGTGGCCCGCTCCCACATCCGCCAAGCAGCTTCGCAGCTTCCTAGGCCTGACCAGCTACTATAGTAACTTCATCCGGGGATACGCTAGGTATTCCTACGTCCTTACCTCCACCCTCCTCCGGAAGAACCCACCCTGGGCTTGTTCACCCCTCCACGAGGACGCCTTCCGCCCTTTTATCCTTACCACCGATGCGTCAGACTTCGCTGTAGGAGCAGTGCTTTCTCAGGTCTTCCCCTCATCTCCTGATTCCTCTCATCCTCGTATCCCTCGCTTCCCACCACCTACCCCTACCACTGCTTCCCGACTGACGCCTACTCGTCCAGCTACTAACGAGCCTTCTATTGACTATTCTCCTACCATCGTCGAGGACGGCACTGTCAAGTCTCGCTTAGGTGATTGTCCGATAGCCTTCTACTCGTGTCAGCTCCTGCCCGCCGAGATAAACTACACTGCTGATGAACATGAGGTTCTCGCAGTAGTTTATGCCGCTCGGCACTGGCGTCACTACCTGCACGGGGCACCATTCACGGTGCGCACGGACAACTCTGTTGTCCAGGCTTTTCTGACAAAGCCGAAGCTCACTCCTCGACAGGCTCGCTGGTGGCGCGACCTATCCGAGTTTAGTTTCACCACTGAGCACATCAAGGGTGAGACTAATCGGGTCGCCGATGCCCTATCCCGGCGCCCTGACCACGACCAGGAGCACATCCAGCTCTCTTCCATCTCGGTCAGCACCATTCACCACTCGGTGATCGACGAGTTTTGCACTCAGTACCGCCACTACCCCGACTATCGCGACATCCACGAGACCCTTCGGAGTGGCAACTTGAAGACCGTTCCGAACTACTCTCTCGGGGACAACGGTCTTATATACTGGCACGGTTCACAGGGCACCAGAGAGCCCCGTATTTGTGTTCCCTCCACTGGACAACTACGTTTCCGAGCAGTAGCAGAGTTCCATGACCAGGCAGCTGCCGGTCATATGGGTTTCCACAAGACGTTGGCTCGTGTGAGCCGCCTGTACGTCTGGCCGAAGCGCAAGGACTTTGTGAAGGACTATGTCGCAGAGTGTCCCACCTGTCAGGAGGTGAACAGTGCGAACCACCTACCTTATGGTTTGCTCCAGCCTCTTCCTATCCCTGAGGGTCGTTGGCAGTCCATCTCGATGGACTTTATCGGTCCTCTTCGACCTCCGACCCCCTGCGGTCATGATGCTATCATGGTCGTCGTCGACCGCTTCACGAAGCGTGCACACTTTGTTCCGTGTCGCTATGCCATCAGTGCACGTGAGGTCGCCGACATTGTATTTGACCGAGTCATGCGTGACCACGGCTTACCTCTGAGCATCATATCTGACCGTGACCCGCGCTTTACCAGCCAATTCTGGCGACGGCTCCACGAGGTGTATGGCACTCAGCTCCGCTTCTCCTCGTCTTACCATCCTCAGACTGATGGTCGGACCGAGATCACAAACAGGACTCTCGGGGATATTCTCCGAAAGATTGTTCGTGACGACAAGCAGTGGGATCTCCATCTTGCCCACGTGGAGATAGCCTACAACCATGCCGTCTCGCCAACCACGGGGATGTCGCCTTACTATTGCGACCTCGGCTATCACCCGCGTGTTCCCGCGGACTTCCTTCGACCGTCCCAGATGCACCCCGACACGAGTTGTCCCGCGCTGGATGATTCGGTTGCACACATGACATCGATTATGAAGACCGCACATGAGCACATAGCCGCTTCCCAGACTCGCATGGCAGCACGTGCGAACCGATCGCGGATGGATCACCCATTCAAGGTCGGTGATGATGTGCTTATCGACGCCCGCCACTTACAGCTCAAAGCGGGCACGCTTCGCAAGTTTCGGCGTCGTTTCTTTGGCCCATGCCGCATCCTCCAGGCCGTCGGCTCTGATTCGGCATCTAGCCCGGTCAACTTTCGTGTGAAGCTGCCCGACTACCTACGCCAGGCTCGTGCGCATGATGTCTACCACGTCTCGTTACTGCGTCCTTACCGCAGACCGTTTGAGCGTTTCGCTGGACGACCATACGAGCGCCCTCCACCCATCATGGTGGACGGCCACGAGGAGTTCCTCGTTTCAGGCATCATTGGTCGCCGAGTCACCGACGACAACCCTCCCCACGTCGAGTATCTCGTACGTTGGAAGGGTTACCCTGATGAGGAGGTTACCTGGGAGCCCCTCGAGCACTTGCAGCACGCTCGCATGTTGGTGCGTGCCTATGACCGTGCTCGTCGTGCTGGGTTCACTGCTCCTCCTCAGCCCATTGACCCTCCTCCTTCTCATCCGGCTGAGGAGACCGCTGAAGTCGAGCCTGCTCCATCTGAGGCACACCTTCAGCAGCAGCCGGATGCCTCTGAGCGTCCACAGCGCACTCGTCGTCGTCCTGCTCGATATGACGATTGACTCTGACTTACCTTCCCACGTCTTTGACTTCTCAGTACTCCATCCACATCAGTTTTGCTACTTCAGCTCGTCGACGCTGCGGCTCTTCCTCGACGGCATTCCGGACTTCTCATCGTGGACGTCATCGGCGGCTTCATGGACTTCATCACGATCAGCT